TGCTAATCGGAAAGTCCTGTCGGGCTGACGATAGGCTGGCCGGTTGCGCGCTGGATCGCCACGACGGACTGTGGGATCTGGGCGAACTGTGTCGATTCTACGAAAGCGGTGTGACGATCGCAGTGAAGGGAGTAAGCACGCGGCGGCCGGGATCGTCGGTGCGGGTATGAGGATCGATGATTGGAGTTGAGTGAGTTATTGGCCCGGGGCCATATTAGAATTAACGGCGAATGCGCCTTTGTTTTTGTGGATCTTTCTCTCTGAACTTCCTTCTTTTGGGTTGCGGCATCTCCTATCTAGACTCTCTTCCCCCCCCCCCTTCACCTTCCCCTTTCTCCTCTATCTTTGAATGATAATGTGTCTCGATTCTTCTCTCTCTCTTTCTCTCTCTCTCTTTTTTTTCCCTCTTCTGGACGAGCATGAATCTGTATGCTTTCCTTGCGTGAAAGAACTTCTTTCGGAACTCTTCCATTAGTTTCCTGGGTAATCCTCCCGCGCAAGGACCCCGTCTTCTTGTCTTGTGAACGGTGGATGCGTGTGTACTGTGCAATCAATCCATCTTTTTCAGTGCATGGCTCATTTTCGCATCTTCCACAACGAATGGATGTATGGGAATGCGCGTCTCTTTGACATTGATTAGATGATTGTGGGATTTTGTTCGAGAATGCAAGAGTGTTTAGATTTGTAGCTTTGAGTGCACTGCGCATGCCATCTGCCTTATGTTGTCCGACATCCGCAGCCCAACCACGAGGCGGCCTCGAGAAACAAGGCGCCCGGGGATCAACGGCGCGCTGGCTCATTAAACCTGAGCCGCGGATCGGTCCCTTAGTTATATGCATGATCAAGCTGCTGACATGTCTTCTTTCTCTCTCTCTCTCTCCCTCTCGGGTTGAAGGGACTTGTCTATGAGTTGCGCGAGTGTTTTCTTTTCTTGATGACGTCGCAAGGTCTTTCCAATTGATTGATATGTGGACCAACCAGTACCCTTCGATTGGGCACCAGCCTCCCGTATCTCCCGCCCCAACACGGCCTTTTCCGTACAACGAGGAAAGGACACGTATATGCAAGTGGGATGTGCGAGAAGTTGTCGCACAGATCGGCGGACGATACCACTTCCCTCTGGCAAATCGTTGTTCAGGGTTCGTAGAGGCTGGGTTTATCATTCTCGACACACACTTCCCACCTTACTCGATATTGTTGCCATTCAACGAGTTGATCGTCATCCCGTGGACGGCAGTAGAACCCCACTGGCCACTCACTCTATGCACCGAATGCCAGCGTTTTGAACGCTACGAATCCAGGGGTTTCCACTACCGTGTGCGGAGTGAAGACGAGCATAAAGAAAGAGTCACGCGGCTGAGACCATCCACGTCGGACTCGAAACTGACCATCGAACGACGACGAGATTTGATACGAAAACGAGACACGCGAAGCGTGCCAAAGCCTTTCTGTTCTAAACGACGAGTTGTGGCTCGGTGGGAAGTCCAACAATACTTTTTGGATTGAATTTGGATTTGTCTCTTGTCGCTCCGTGCCCGCGCTCGCATTCCGCGACGCGCGAAAGCAATCGACTTGCTTCATTGGACCAACACGGGGGATTTCAGTTTCATCTGTGTCCCCACACTCAATTTCCAAAAATCCTTGGCACACCCCATTTTGCTGTTTTTATGGGCCTCTTTCCGGACGCCTAACACTCCGAACGAAAGACAGCACAGGGCGTGAGGTTGGTATCGGAGCCGACACGTGTCGGTTCTAATGATAGTAAGTCGAACCGGCGAGAGGTAGGAGAGGCCCGCAACTAGTTCGTCGGGATCGTCCAGTAACCCGGTCTTAGTCTGGTGCGGCTGCACCCGCGGCACCAATGGTGGATGGTACTAGGGTGATCGTTAGTATCCCCGCACCCTTCCCCTTCTTCCCTAACCATACCCACCCCGAGGCTTGGCTAGAAGTTGTCGAAGCTCAAAACTACAGCGCAATCGATTTTCCCCGCGTTTTGACATTGCTACTCCGCAATACGTCGCATGACTGGTTTAGAAAACATACGTGGGTAGACTGGGATACTTTCAAGCAAGCTTTCTTGGCTCAATTTGATACGGTTAGTGAAGATGCCGTCTGGTACGTACTCAAAAATCGGCCACAAGGACCAGGGGAATGGTTACCCGATTTGGTCGATCGATTTCAAACCACGCTGGACAAATCCGGGCGAGACGAGAAATCCGCTCGAGATTTGTTCATCGACCATCTACGAAGTCCTACATTGAAAGGCAAACTGCAGAAAAAGGTTCCGCTGAAAACTCACCAGTTATGGGCTATCATCACTAAAGCATTGGAACTGGACCTGATTGATACAAAAAAGTATATCAGCCAGGGAGACGAAGACATCACAGATACTATACGGGATGTAACGGCTAAAAGGCGATCATGGCTGCAGGCGGTCGAACGGTTTTATCCCCGCCCCGACCATGACCTCCCCGGTGGGATCGTTTCCGATACCCCGCCTGCGTCTTCTTCCTCTCCTCCGGCGAATCAATCGATCGCAGTCGTTAAAAGCGGAATCTCACCCGAACCCTCCTCGCCGGCCATAACCAACTCACACCTTGCCCAAATGATCCATACGGCCACTACTAAGCAGTCCGATCGGATGAGCAACTTGATCCAAATGCAAGCCGCTCATATGGAACGAATGGAACAAATAATGAGCAGGATAATTAAGCCTAACCCGGCTCCTGCTCGGCCTGGCCCCGCATCATTTCCACTCTTACCTGCCCCGCCTGCTCCAGGGTTCGCACCTCAGTTCCCTCATCTAGCTAATCCAGCAGGAAAGATCGAGTGCTTTAACTGCAAACAGCCCAGGCATTTCGCCCGGGACTGTCCGCAGTCGAAATGTAATCAGCCTCCCCCTGCTGCGGCCCCTGTCGCCCTTAATCAAGGACGAGTGGCCGCCCTGATGGATACGGATCAAGGAGGAGAACTCGTGGCATATGCCCCAAAGCAGCCTTCCCCTTCGATGGCAACAGCGTCGACCTCTGGAGCTTCTTCCTCTGACGCTGCTGATGTGGTCGATCCCCTCAAGTATCTTCATCTTGCAGGCATGATCGGAGCGATCCGATCGGCCCCAAATGATCTCGAATGGGTCGATCGCGAATCCAATCCTGGACTGCAATTTCGGACAGGAGATATTGATGTATTGAAATCGCTCAAGCAACTAGATATTCGCATTCCTATCCCAGGAGGACATCTGCTCACCATATCTGAAGCCGCGAACGGTAAACTTTTACAACATTGCCAGAAAAATCAAAAGCGCTTTACCTATCAGCGCATACAACGGATGTTGAAAAAGAAGGAAGGAAGCGAGGAGTTGCACCCCCCGAGCCGGACACGAGAGAACCTAAACCCGAAGCGGCACGTATAGCAGCGATCTCTTTAGCAGAAAAAAATCACTTCGTACGAGCTCGACCGGTATTGTGAAAAAGTGCGGAATGTGACTGTGAAGTTTGGGGCAAGCTGTTTAATGCCCTTATTGACACATGATCTTCTGTCGTGGCCATATCATTGGATACAGTAAAAAAGACGGGACGACTTGGATCCATTCTTCCTCAATCTGGCAAAGACAATTATGTCTCTGCCGACGAGGAAGCAATGCACATCGTAGGCATTATCGAGAACGTGGCTGTAAAAGTCGGACGAGTACACGTTCTTGTTAACGTGCTCGTAATAGATGTACGTTCTTATTCTTTGTTGTTCGGATTACCTTGGGCGATGGCGGTGGGCGCACGCCTGCATTTCGATTCGAAACAATCGGTGCTCACGCAAACTGGGGGAAAGCCTCAAACTGTTCCCTTGCGAGTTTCCACCCGAACGATTCAACGGGTCCCTAACTTGGCCCAAATTGGGATGATTCAATGCATTGATTCCGAGGAGCGCTCTCCCTCGCACATCAGTGATGGAATCCGGGAACAGGAATACGAAGAAGAGCTGCCTAGCGAAGATGAATGGAAGCACCTGGTTGAACTTTTCGAACACGAAATTCCCGAGGAATTCCAAGTGTGCCCCGACCCTGTTCAAAGTTTCCACGTGGATTCAGGAGACAGCGTGTTTGCGCCTCCGATAACGCAAGTTAATCCTTCGGCCCTGCTTGGGGAACCTATATTACAAGTATCTGACCTGACAGATGATTCGGAACCCCCTCGCACCTTGTACGAAGGAGCTCTGTCCTTACGTACGCGTTATCAGCAAATGGAACAATATTTGGATGTTTCTGTTTTCCCGCCCAGAACGTTACTAACGCCAGGAGCCACCATCATTTTGATTAAACAAGAGGCGGAAGCACCAGTAAGTGACGTACCTGATCTGATGCAGGAAATGACGGATCTAGCGGGGCTAACTGTGGAACCGACCTCGGTTGATTCAGAGACTGATGCTGAAGCCAAAGAAACAAAGGTGATCAGCCCCGCAGAGTCCCAGATGATAGCTACAGTTTTCTCTGTTCGCACCAGTAGTTCCGTTTTCTCTAGTGTCCATGATCGGTAGGAACGGCCGGATGATTGGGTCGATGTGCCCCTTGAGATTTTCGAGGAATCAACAATCACCCTGCCAGGTCACGTCCCCGCAGAACTTCGAAAATCATTAATCTACGTGTTAAACGGGTACGCGGAAGTATTGAGCATACATGATAATGACATTGGCTTAACTAATGTGATCGAGCATGCCATTCTCACGGGAGACCATCCACCCATTAGCTGCGTTCCTTACCGATACTCGCCAGCTCAAAGACCGGCCGCTTTTCAGCGGATTAAGGAGTTCGAAGTTAATGGATGGATCGAACCCGCCATAGGTCCCTAATCTTTTCCCGTAGTAATCGTGCCTAAAAAGACTGGAGGGATTCGCATTTGCATTGATTATCGAAAGTTGAATGATATCATGATCAAAGATGTGTACCCCCTCCCCCGGATTGATGAGTTGTTGGATGCGATTGGGAGTGCTCGATTTTTCAACAAATTTGATGTTCGCCATGGGTTCCATCATCTTCTTGTTCGAGAAGAAGATCGTCTGAAAACAGCGTTTGTACTTTTCGAGGGCACATGGCAGTGGATTCGATGTCCGATGGGTATCTACAACGCCCCCGCGACCTTTCAGCGAGCCATAAACATGGCTTTTCAGAATTTCGTGAGAAAGACTCGGTTGGCACAGAGCATTATCAACTACTGCGTGATTGTGTACATGGATGATATCTTGGTGTATTCAAGTTCCTACGAGGGACACGTGCAACACATCGAATGGGCACTGCACGCGTTACGAGATGCGGGCTTCAAGGTGGCGCTTGAGAAGTGTCAATTTTTCCTCACCACCATTTCCTTCCTAGGGCACGTGGTGACAGACAAGGGACTCCAGCCGGAGTCACAGAAGGTGGCAGCTGTCAGGGACGCGCCGGTGCCTACAACTATCATGCAAGTTCGCGCCTTTCTGGGCCTGGCCTTGTACTACCGAAGATTTATCAAGGGCTTCGTGGCGATTGCGGGACCCCTCACGAATCTGCTGCGCAAAGATCAGCCGTTGATCTGGACGCCGGAGTGCGATTAAGCGTTTTCCAAACTCAAGACCGCTCTCATTTCGGCCCCGGTCCTTATAAGACCGGATCCCGAAAAGCCTTTTGTTCTCATCACTGACTGGCAGCCAGAGGCAATTTCGGCGATCCTTGCCCAGGTGGGACCAAGCGGACTCGAGAGTGTGGTGGAGTACGCCTCCAAATCGGTGCCAGCTTGCAAGCGCAACTACGACGCTCCGACGGGGGAATGCGACGCGGCTCTCTGGGGTATCAGCTACTTCCGCGCTTACCTGTACGGGCGAAAGTTCACCTTGGTAACTGACCATGAGCCCTTGTTGGCTCTGAAGAAATCGAAGGATAACTCTCGCATGATCGGGCAATGGGCAACGGTGCTGCAGAGCATGGACTTTGACATCCGTCATCGAAAGCACGAGAGACACGGGAATGCGGACGGACTGACACGACTGCACCGGCCTGAGAAGGTTCCGAAGAGTGAGGAGGTGATTCCGTGGAACGAACCCGAACAAGAGATCGGACCTTGGTACGGCCAAGTGGAGATCTTATCGAAGCAGTGAGTGACACGAGGACTCATTGGTCTATTCTACCCTCTCTGCATCCCTTCCTTCTCTGTCATCATGATTACCCCACTTGCCTCCGCTACCCCTTCATCTCCTACTAATGCTGCCCCTCTCACGTCCTCAGCTTTCTTTGCCACCCTCCCCGACAAATTCTGTTATTTTTGCACGTGCATCGCACGGGTCCATGGGGTCGACTGCCGTCCTTTCGAAACCAGGTTTGTTGACTGGGTAGAATGTGCCACGTGTGTCAATCGTGCGCACGGGGCCTGCGTTCGATATCGGACGAATAACAAGGAGTGGAGGTGCCCCCTGTGTAGAACGAACAAACTCCCCACGGAGGTTCGATTCGAGACCGCCCGTACGGACGACCCTGAATACGACGAAAAATACCGACGAGCGGAGGTTTGGACGGATAAAATTTTATTGGCAAAATTAGGGGGATTATCATTGGGTCACCTTACCAAACACGACAGACGTAGGGCGACGGAGAGATCTCGGGACTATCGATGGGTCAACGGCCATTTGGAAAAACGTAAAACTGACGGTTCGGGCTCGTGGTTGACGATTCCCCATCCATTCCAGAGATATGATTGGATTCGATTTGCTCACGAGGAACAGGCCGCTCATTTCGCAATACGTGTCGCGGAGGCAACTGTAGATCAGAACCGATGGTTCTGGTCCAATATACGAGATGATGTCAAATACATTGTCGCTAACTGTCTGGTCTGTGCCGCTGATCGCGCCCCTATACGGGGACCAAACACGATCGTACCAACGGAAGTAGAGCGTCCTTTCCAGCGAGTTAGTATGGACGCGACAGATATCGACGTGCCACCTGGCCCAAACCGCTGTGAATATTCTATCCTGCTAGTATTAATAGATCATTTTTCCAAGTACATCGAAGTCTATCCCTGTAAGACCCAAAAAGCCGCAGAAATAGCCACGTACATCGAACGGTTCCTCTATACCCATCTAGATACGGAAGAAATTGTGACCGCCAATCGGTCCGAATTCAAAGGTGAGGTAGAAGAACTGCTTGCGCGAAGGGGCATCACGCTCCGACATACGACACCCCACGTGTCCTAGTCAAACGGGTTGGCCGAAAATGCCAACCGTATGATCAAAACCGCCCTTCGCAGGAACTTACCGGCACATGACGCACGTCCTTGGCCTGAGATCGTATATCAAATTGTTGGGATCCACCGGGCCACCCCTCACGAGTCCACGGGGTTTACCCCTTTTCAACTTCGAACTAATAGCCTCCCCTGTGTCGACTACCGAGGTAACTCGGAAATTGCCGAAGCAGGGGGTAGAGACACGCGTACAACTTTCAAAGCCAAGGCCAAAAGGTACACTGAATTAATGGAACGGGTCGTCCCGAAGCTAGCCCGAAAAAGGCAAAGGATGACCGAACTGGCCCACGGTAGATAGGTCCGTAGCTACGAGGATCGGAATGGAAATGCTGGGCCCCAGCATCAATATAAATTAGGGGACCTAGTGCAGGTACGTAAATGTGCACGCGACCGGAAACTCGCTCCCAAGTTTTCTGGCTGTTTTCACGTTGTCGAGCTCGGACTCAACGGCGCCAACACGGTGCGCATCGCGCCTGAGGCTAGTGCCAGCCATAACTCTGTCCCCATTGTCCGACATACCTCCTACCTCCGTCTTCTTCCTCCTCCTGATCTTCCTCCCTCTTCTTCCTCGGAAAGCGAAGAGAACGACGACGATCTAACTCTCTCTCCTCTTTCTCCCTCTTGTCCTTCGTCCTCCTCTCCCACCTCGCCATGAGTTTTATCACGGTGCGCATCGCTCCTGAGGCTAGTGCCTCTTCTTGACGCACAGCTGTTGCAGCCACATGGCCACATCTCAGAGATTCGGCAAGTTTGTCACCCTCGACTCAATGCAGATCGTCGCCGATTAATGCGATTCTTCTGCGACGAAGGTATCTGTGCCGCCGCTGCGTTTCGAATCGAAGGAAGTCCTCACGCAGTGGTATTCGCGGAGGTAACCGCAGTTCATCGGCGAGCGGGCCCCAGAACGAGCCACGTTACCACGGTTGCGGCGTTCAGCGGTGACATCAGCTCGGTCAATCCGCAGTGGCATACCACGATCTTGACCTCGCTGCGCGAGTGGACGGAGCAAGTGTTCAACATGTGGTAGCACGTCCTCGCCCGACAAGGGTATAACCTCATCCCGATCTTTGCATTGGATCTTGGCGATATTCGCCGATCACCGCGTGAGCGGCTAGTTGCGATCCCAACCCTCATCCCCTTCCCACATCCCCAATGAACCACGTCGATCTTCTCGCTCCTCTCTCTATCTTTGGTCTCCCCTCTCTCTTCCCCACCTTCTGGCAATCCGATCTTCATCCTTCTCTTTCCTTCTCATTCGAGCCTCTTTCGGTCCCTCTTATCAATCCTGGACATTGGCGGCTGTGGCGCGAAACTTTTGAGGAGCTGTTTTTTTGCTTGGCCAGAATACAGGTGACGTGGACACAGACCAGCGGCCATCCTGCGTGGATCGAAAATCCGGAACTGCTAATCATCCAAGCTTGGAGGACTAACGCGGAGGGCAATCTTCTTGGCTTTCTCTTTGGATCGGTACAGCCGGGGCGCCGCCAGCTGATTGCGCAAGAGCTCATCACACCAATCGTGCAATTGGCGGACGATCTCTCGCCCGACATCTATTTTCATAGTGACGACAGTCCTGCTCCATACATTTTCGAGCGATCATTGGATCCGTATCTTCAGTGGACTGCGTGCTTGGAGGAACCTAGGGACGAGGATACGCTACCATCGCGGCAGGAGTATCTGAAGCTGTACGATATCATCCCTCACGCCTTCTATCTGAGGGAAGAGGAAGTGGTGATCGACGACGACGACGAAGAGGATGAAGACGAGGAAACATTGGAGGAGGGGAGCTATAGTGAACATAGCGAGGGCGAGCTGAGTGAAGGAGAAGAGGAGGAAGAAGAAACAGGATCTGAGTGGGAAGCCGTGCCGGAGGAGGCAACGCGTACGGAAACGGAGGCGGAAGATCCGGAAGCGGCGCGAAAGCGCGAAGAAATTGCCACCGGGAAGCGCCAGCTGGAGTTCGCCAGCAAAGCTAGCCTGCTCATCGGTAACGATCCGACTAGGGATCCAGAGCTACCGAAGCCCGAAGATGGCGACCTTGCAGCCGCCACCTCAAGTACCGCTCGACGGAGACGGAGTCGATCCCCCTCCTCCTCCAGCCCAACCCGTCCCCCAGTTCGCCCACGTACCGATGCGGGCGATAGGCCTTCGTCCTTGGACGCTGTCCCGCCAACCCCTTGATTTCCTCACCCTCGAGCAGATCCGTACTCCCGTCACCTTCCCTTCCCATCCCTTCCTTCTTCATCTCTTCCGCGACTTCTATTCTACCCGCCTACTCGCCACCGTCCACCCCCACGCCTCCCTTCAATCCGCTGCCCCCACGTTCTGCTGGCATCTCTTGCTGTTCAGCGCTGCATGGGAGCGATGCAACGTGGTAGAGGTTTACTGCGTTGCCACGGGGACAATCCCCGCCTGCCGCCACTATGAGTTCTTCCAAACGGCGCTTTTCCGCACCCTCTCCTCTTTCTATCGCGACTACCTTGCTTCCCTCCCTCGCAGCGGCGATCACTTCCCCCACTTCCACCGGATCATCGGATATGAGGAGCTTCTGGTGACGATAGAAGGAATGAATCGCTTCCTACCCCCACTTCCTCCCCGTCGGCCCCGAGAAATCCCCTCCATGTACCGCCTCTATTGGCCCATTCCAACTAGGAGGTAGATCCCGATCACATCACTACCCCCCCTCCCCCCTCTCTTCATCCAATTAGCAGGGGAAAACGGCACGAATCAGTAAGCTTCACGAAGATCACGCCATCGACGATGACGTCAACTCACGCTCTGATTCGACGGACAACAACCAGCTGGGGTGCAGAGCACACGCAGAACCAGCGGACGATGATGGCGTCACCTGGACCACCATCGAGGATTCCAGCAACAGACAACTGCAATTGCAGTTGGCGTCAACATAGACTCTGGCTGGATCGCTTGTTGATACGCTTGGTTCCTCATGCATCACTCTGTTCCGCCATGACATAATTAGGAGATCGCATAATTTCGGAACCCCCTGCGCGTCACATATGTGACGAACCACTTCCCGAACCCGTGCTATCTTTCGTACCCCTTTTGTGCTTGTATCATACCAACCCCATAAAAACGCCGTTTCGTTTTCTTGATTTTGGGTACCGCGTTTTTGGCCCCCATCTTTCGGAAGTTTTTTTCGAATCCCGGGTTCGACTTTTCCTTTCTGCAATTCGGGAAATACATAGGAAATTACGTACACCTTAGCGAACGCACTGGGAATTGGGCTCGGCAGTTGGGAATTCCGGGATAAGCGGAACATCGACGTGTCCTTTTCGTGTGTGTGAATGTTCTTGGTCGCATCGGGGAAAACTCTCGGAATTTTGTGCGAATACGAATAGGCGTAGGATTTTCTTTTCCCGCGTCGCTCTTTCGCGCGCGGATATGTTGATTTCAGTTTTGAATTAGGCTGTAACTGTTTCGGTGCCTTTTTCTCTTTTTCTGTTGACGGCGCCGCGCGTGCAAAGCTGTCTCCTCTCTGTCCCCCGCATCGCTCCCTCCCACGCTCCTTTCCCTTTCTCCCTCCCCTTTCTCTCGCCCTGTAACTGTTTTCTTTCTCTCTCTCTCTCTCCCGCCTTGCTCTTTGCGCGCCCCTTTTCCTTTCTTGATCATCTGAATCTTGGACCCGTCTTGCGCCACTTCTCGCGCCTTTTTTTTCCCTCACCCTCTGAGGCTGGCACACGACGCCCGGTCAATCCATCGATAACTCCCGCTCGCCAATC